CTTTACAAATTGGGAAATCAAATCTATATATACCTTAAGGACCAGAGTTTCAATCTTTGGAGAATTTTCTATCATATTGGACAGCACTTTCCAATATCCTTCCCGATAAAAACTGTCAGAAATGTAGAGTAGTCAAGTTTGATTATATATATTTTATTAGATGTTTAGAATGTTGAGGAGTCTGTCATCATGGGTTAATTAGGTTCTCTATATCGAAACAAACACATCAACCTTCTCTATAGACGATTTCTTTTTTGCTTTATACCTTCAAAATGACAAGATCTTCTCTTTTTTCGTTAACCAATATTTTATTGGTGATGAGAATTATAAGTTATGACAGACATGTTGCTTTTTAGTTTAAACAATCATGTTCTCATAAAAATAATATTGTTCTTTTTTTATATATTAAAAATATAGTGAATTAGTCTCACTTTCCCGGTTCCTTCATATAAGATGTTTTATCAAGCAAATTACTAACAGAATTAGGCATATGCATAAAAACTGGATCTAAAGAATCGAACCGAATTGAAATCGGTATAAATATATGAATGAAGTTTTCACTTTTTTATCCGAAGAATAGATACCAAACTAGGACCAAACTGAGAATCATATGGATATTCAAAATATCCACAATAAAATTATATTTATATAGATATTAGCTATATTTGGATATAACTTAATGAAAAATCAATTTAATTAAAAAAATATTTGTATTTAAACTTTGGGAAATAATAAATATGTGATATATATAAAAAAAAGGAAATATCCTATAAAAACTAAAAAAAAAAAATCTAAAAAGTAGAAAGTTTAATAAATATATGATAAACTCGATTTGATATTTATCTATAAAGAAAAAAACTGTGTGTTATGCTTAAGTAGGGGTTATTGGTTCTTGTATTTTGGTGGATTTATAAATCTTCTTTGGATTTGATAAATTTATTGATTTCAAAATCAGCAAAATGGAAAAAAAAAATCAAATCCACTCAAATACCAAGGTTAGACCTTGTATTTGGGTCTTTGTATTTTAGTCATAAAAATCCTTCCAAATTCATTCAAATTCAATTAAAACTCAAATCCTTATAATATTTAGATTCTAAAATGATAGAACCAATAACACTGTATTTCATTATGGATTTTAAAATCATAGAACCAATAACACTGTATTTCAATATAAATTTTAAAATACAAGAATCAATAACACTGAATTTAGTTTGGATTCTCAAATCCATTAAAATACAAGAACCAATAACACCTCCTAAGTTTTTTTTATATAAACATCTTGACATCTTCTTATTCACAATTTCTCATCGTTTCTTTTTTTATTACAGATTGTAGATTTTTATTATATGTTTCTTTACCTAGAGTTCATCTAAATATACTTTTAATTCCTCTCAAAAATATGTATCGGTAGTGAAATTTATATTTTTATATGTTTGTGATAACGATTTATCTATTATTCTTTTTTTTTTTAAGGTTCTGATTTGTTCTTCTATACTTTGTAAGGATTCAACGACTATGGTCTGAGAGCATGTGGATATAATTCTGGTACGTTCTCATGTTTATAGAAAAATGGTTAATTGGTCTTTATAGAAAAATATTTTATCTAATTTCTCACTTTATTTTTTTTATCAATGTAGGCATTAAAAATACATGCTTCGGTATAAGATGTAGGTTTGGAACGATTTGCAGATTGTTACATGGTTTTCAAAAGGTGATTTTAATATTTCTGATATCTTATTTCTTTAGTGGTTTTCTTTTTATTTGATTATTCTGTGTATTGTTTTCAATCGACTGCTACAATATTAGATCTAAGTTTTAGAAGTTTAAACTTTTTATTCTTTATGCGTCAAAATGATGGTAACATATAATTGCCAATAAAGCTTGTGATCTTGGAGTATGAATTAGCATCTATGCATTTATAATTAAAGGTGAGTTTCTTTTAAAGATTTGAGTCTTTTTGTATTTTCTTACAGAGTTTTTCTGTAATGTTTATTGATACTAAAACTAATGATAAGTGTATCAACTGACAGTTAATTAAGATTGGCGTTAATAGTGATGTTTGTAAGGATATGTCTAAAATCTTAAGCTATAATCGTAAGGACAGTTAATTAAGATTGGTTTTCTGAAAGAAAACAAATTATCCCAAATCTGGATATTCATTTTTTTTTGTTTTTGAATTTATTTGCTTTATTTTGTTTTGGTTGAAGAGTCTTAAAAGGCATTTGAAACTCAATTCTGAAAATGCAAGGATTCTTCTAGATTTTTTTAAGGTGCAAAGAGGAAGGCTATCTTGCTTCCTCGAAGAAGGAAGAAAAAATGTTTTATTTGATATTATTCGGAGACTCAGATATGGTTTTTTGGAATTGATTTAGTGAATAATAAATCGGTTAACGCAGAGGTTGTTGAAAAAATATCAATGAGACATTGGGGGTGTTGTAATCTGATTAAAAATTCAATATTTACAATGAACACACATTGATGTATGTGCAACCAGCTATTGCTTGAGTGTATTTATGTTCTGTATATGGAACACTCTTAATGATATTAAATTACTTGCATCATAAGCTTCTTCTACGTAGATTATATCATTATTTTTTAAAAAATCTATTTCATAAATTGGATTAACGAAGATTCGTTTCTTTGTTAGAATTATAACATTCCTTACCATGAAGAAAGGTATGATGTGATGGAGTGATGATGATAATGATAACTTATACAAGGAGTCATCATTATCTAATTCTAACGCAGATACTATGGATACTCTGAGAAAGAAAAATGACAAGTAGAAAGTCAAGAGAGCTTTCGACTATGAATCTTTGCAACAACACGGTTACAAAGCATATGGTTTTCCAAATGTCCCTTTGCATGAGGAGGTCATGAGATAATCAACGATCATGTGGAAGTGAAAGAGAGTTATCGAGAACGAGAAGCTACAAGAGTTGTCGTTGTAGATGGTGAGAATCATGAGTTGATTGTGAATGCATAAGTGAGTGATAGGCAGATTCATTCTTTTTATCATAGAGGAAAATAAGAGAGCTTTGGTTCAAGCGAGTAGAGAGAATAACTACATTGAAGAAGAAAAAATGCAATTAAAAGACAATGGTGTTTACTTTTGATTCTTAAAAATCTCAATTTTGAGGTAAAATCTTTGTATTTGGTGACTACATAATATGAATACTTTATTTTGATTCTTAAAAATCTCAACTTTGAGGTAATTTTTTTGTATTTGGTAAATATGTAATATGAATACAAAGAAACAAAAGTTTTACTTTACTAATGGCCATAAGCATATGGAGACCTATCATTTACTTAGCTTTTTTACTCTGGATATTTCTGGAAAAAAACAATCTTAAGGTATTTTTTGGTATCCGATGATAATTTGATATGCAAATAAGAAACATAAGACTTAATTTCACTAATAACCATAATTTTACATGAAAAATGAACATTTTGCAACTTCATTACAAAGCGGATCTCTAATTATGTGATTTATATATATACCAAATTAACAATCATCAGTAGATTTTTTTAATAGTCTAATTTCATATATATCGAAATAATTCATAATTAAAAAAATAGACTTTATTTTTTATCAAACTTATTTAAAATTTATATGCTTGTGCATTTGCGCAGGCGGGACACCTAGTTTGGATATAAATATAACCAAAATTTTTAAAATCATAATTAAAAATATAATATATTATTAGTTACCTTTAGACTAAAATAACAAAATATCCAAATTATTTTAATTACATATATCAGAATTAAATAGGTTTTTTGCAAATTTAACCAAATATATCAAAATATTTTAAACATTTAATTTTCTTTTTAAAAAATAGATAAATTTCAGATAATTGAGATATTCGAAACCAACCCAAACTCAATCCTAACTGAATTCCATCTGAAAATTAAAAAAATACCCAAATAGAATTTATAGTCTAAAAGTAATTAACCAAAACCTGATTAGACCCAATCCAAATGGCTACCCGGACGCCAAGACCTAAACAAAATAATAAAATGGAAAACTTCTAGTACGTTTTAATATTTTTCCTTCTTGCACAATTCCGTGATCTAACATGGTTGATACATACTATACAATAAACCACGCATAAATTTACATGTACCTTGTCAACGGTTTCATCATAAACCAATCAACAATGGTTTGATTAACTTATTCCAAGTCTTTTCAATTTTTTTATGAATAAATAAACAAAAGTTAATTGGATATACGAGGACCATTTACAAAATGATTTTTTAAAAGTCAAGTGGACCAAACTATTTTAAGATACATTTCCCTATTTTTTGTGTTTTTCCTTCCAGTGATCTTAACTTGTAACATAGAGGATGCTATTCCTTAACAATTTTTTTAAAAAACGGAATTAACTATTCTTCTCCACACCAAATTAACATTTAGAACTGACTTCATCATACATTAAAGTAATGATAATTCGACGACCAAATTAAAACAAACAGAATAATAATTCGTAGAAAGATATCTTCGTTGAAATTACGCTTAACCACAAGATGTCTGCAACTTTCTCTTATTAATTTACTTATATGACATGTTAGTCTTCGTTTTTAAGATTTTACTGTTTCTTCTGTTGTCGTAGACTCGTAGCTAACAAGTTTTTCAACATTTTATTATAGTACTTTCAATATTTCTATTATAGTATACTTCCAATATCTTTTTAGCAGTTACCAAGTTGGTCATCCAACTGGTCATCATCATTCATCACACATGGAAATTGACATTTGACAATTTCATGGTAGCTTCTCAAATATATATATTTATTAACATGATCAAGTGTGTACACATACATATTTATTAACTACTCTCTCTCTCTCAATATATATATATATATATATGTTTTCTCTCCCTTCTTCGTTAACCTCACCAATTCCTTTCTCTGATTAAAAAAAAAAAAGGCTCACCCCATATCCAGCTTCGAAACCTTTCTTGCTATTCAAGAACACCCTTTTCCCAAACACAGCACTTAAAAATGGCGATAATGGGTGAACTATGGACTTTCATAGGCTCTTCTTTCGCAACCCTAGCGTTTATATACACAGTCTTCCAAAATTTCTTCCCCTACCAGCTCCGTGAACCCTTCGAGCCATTAGTGCGAAAATTCATCAATCTTTTCAACCCTTACACACAGATAAAGTTCTTTGAATATAACGGTGAGCGGTTCGAGCGAAACGATGATTATGCTGCGATCCAGAACTATCTAAAAGGCTCTTCTTCTCAAGCCAAGAGACTAAGGGCTAACACAAACAAAGGAAGTAAATCTACTATCCTTAGCATGGACGATCACGAAGAGATCACTGATGAGTTTAAAGGAGTCAAGGTTTGGTGGCAATCGAAGACGTACCAAACCGAAAGCCGGTCATTTTCCTATCTCCCTAAAGCCGACGAATCCAGATTATACGTGCTCAAGTTCCATACACGTGACATGCAAATAGTTACAGAGAGGTATATTGTTCATTTCCAGAATGAAGGAAAGAAAATGGAGGTTAAGAACAGAGAGAGGAAGCTTTATTCGAACAATCCAAGCCAGAGTTGGTCTGGTTACAAACAGACGAAATGGAGCCACGTCACTTTCGAGCATCCCGCCACGTTCAATACTCTTGCTATGGATACTAAGAAGAAAGACGATATCAAGAACGATCTGACCAAGTTTAGTAATAGCCAAGAATACTACAAGAGGATCGGGAAAGCTTGGAAAAGAGGGTATCTCTTGCACGGTCCACCGGGAACTGGCAAATCAACGATGGTCGCTGCGATGGCGAATCATTTGAATTATGATGTTTATGATCTTGAGTTGACAACGGTTAAGGATAACACAGAGCTGAGGAGGCTACTGATTGAAACTTCCGGGAAATCGATAATAGTTATTGAAGATATTGATTGTTCTCTTGATTTAACCGGTCAGAGAAAGTCCAAGGAGGAGGAGGAGGAAGACGAAGATGAGATTAGCCCGGCTGAGATGCAAATGAAGAAAGATCACGGTCAGAATAAAGGAAGTAAAGTGACATTATCAGGGTTGTTGAATTTCATTGATGGGTTGTGGTCAGCTTGTGGTGGTGAGAGGATAATTGTGTTCACTACTAATTTCAAAGATAAATTAGATCCGGCATTGATACGAAAAGGAAGAATGGATAAGCATATAGAGATGTCGTATTGCGGTTACGAAGCATTTAAAGTGCTGGCAAGAAACTATTTGTATGCTGAGGAAGAAGAAGAAGATGGTAAGTTGTTTAAAGAGATTAAGAGGTTACTTGAGGGAGAAAAAATCAAGATGACACCGGCTGATGTGGGAGAGAATCTGTTGAAGAAGGCAGACGATGAAGCTAACAAGATTTGTCTAAATCGATTGATTGAAGCGTTGAAAGAGGAGAAAGAAGAAGCTAAGAGGAAGGTTGAGGAAGAGATGAAGAAGAAGGAAGAAGAGGAAGAGATTAACAGAAAGCAGAGAGATGCGAAGAAGAAAAGGAAGGAAGAGAAGGAATAGAAGGAAGAAAATGGAAAGAAATATGATTTGAATTCGTGTGATTTTTATATAACGAGTCACTTATGTGGTCTGTCTGTACCTTTGATTCAGAAAATAAATGTGAAATTAAAGCCAATCGCGATATTATTTAAGAAATTATAAAGAATTGTTTCTAAAAAAATCAGTAATAAACAAAATATATTGACTAATCTACATAATGAATATTGACTAGCTCTCGCTGTTAAAAAAAAAAAAAAAATTGCTCTCTTCCTTTTTTCTTCTAAAATGTAAGAAAGGGCAATTATTTAAACAAAATAATTTATTATTTAATAATGAAAGAGAGGGAAAGAAGAGGAGAGCTGGTGAGAGCTTGAACTAGGAGAAACTAATATTTGAATATTTATGTCATTGGATGATTTGAAAAAGGTATTTATTGTAATATAGTTCCCCCGTATTTTTGGTCTAATTTAAAATTAATTCAACAAAAATATCTACAATGAATGTAACATTTTTATAGTTTTTGACATAGTCACTACAAAAAAAACAGGTGTATTGTATCACTTATTTTAAATATTTATATTACTTATAATTGATATAAACAAATTTTACATCACTTGTAAAATTGATTGTGAATGTGGTGATGCAAATAGTTAACATCAGTTAGCTATCAAATGATGAAAATATATTTTATTTTTGTATCGATTGTTGAAATCGATGTCAATATGTGTCAATTACAAAAAAACTCATGTTATTGTTTGCATCAATTTTTATTAATGATATTAGTATTTGTGACGATTATAATAAATGATGTAAAAATTAGTTTAGTTTAATATCATAGTTATATTCAGATGTTAAATATAATTTAAATTTATTTTAATTTTCATAAATATTTATAATAATATTATTATTTTAATCCGAAAATTTATGAATCAGTAATTTTTTGAAAGACCAAAAAAATTGAAATTCATTTTATTGGCTAGTAAATATATATATTAGGTACTTAAGTTTTGATATATATAGACATACTTTTTCTTTCATTTTTTATCAACTAGCAATGTAGGACAATGTACAAAAAGTTAGTTACATCAGTTTTAACTGATATAAAATTTATATCATTTTTAAATAATGTTAACCAAAATTATTGATGATATCAATTATCTAACTGATTTGAATACATAATTTTATATTAATTTTATTTAAGTGATGTAAACTAATATAAATTTGTATCAATTTTATTGAACTGAAGTTAAATAATCAATAAAAACATCAATTATAATAAATGATGTTAAAACATATATTTTGTATCATTTATTCATAAGTAAATTAAAATTTATATCATATAGTTTTGTGATATATTTTATGCGATGTAATCAATTTTTTTTTCCGTAGTGAGTTAAGAAGCTGTTAAGAAAGCTATCAATAAAATTTGGAGAAAAAATAAACAGCGTACAAATAGTAATCAGTTTATACCGGAAGAAAGTCAAACTCCAATCATCATCCACTGACCACAGCTACAAAACTTAAAACCAGTCTTTATATTTCTGTAGGGATTCAGCAGAAAGACTATCAGATAAAATAAAGGAAAAAATAAATCTTTAAAACTGACATTAAAAACAAACATTTCTTGTGATCATCGGGTGCTTTGATATCAGGTTAGATTTGGTGATATGTTATGGAATCACCTATCTTTGTTTTGTGGTAAAGCAAGAAGATCATCTTCGAGTTGCAGCTTGTTCTCTATATATCTCATCACTAATTTTTACTTTTATCTCTCAAGGTTCTCCCTTTCCCACAAGAGGCGCTTGACTGGGTTTAACTCTCCGAGCCTTACTTCATTCATACACTTAATGGTGTTTGTGTTTGTCAACAATTAGCTAAAAGCATTCATATATATTATTGGGATCCATTTTACCGGGTTAAAGAAGAGCTCATCACGTAAGCCTAAACTATATTAGATGCTGACACACGTCACGCTAGCTCGGCCGACCCACTCATGCGTACTGTACCAGAGCAGTTGGCGAGCTTCTCCTAACACGCCAGAATGATTACTCCTACCTGCTCTCTGAGTACGCGGTTCGGAGGAGACATGACAAGAGAATGACGAGTATAAATAGAAGAAGAACCCTTCAAAAGAAGAGGAGGAGGACGATCGAAGAGGCCCGCCTTCCCGACCATGCAGCAGGATCACGGGTGGACTCCACGTTCCTCCCGAATGATTGCCGAACAGGTTAATCCATCCCTGACTTGGAACCTCGCCTTTATACCCGCTGCATTACCCTTTTCACGAGTAGAAACTCCTCTTGAAACACTCCAAACCAGACAGGAGTCTCGATCTTCAGACGAGTCCCCTAACGATTAACCCGTAGAATACTCCCCCCAGAGTAGTCGTTCCCGGTAGGACGCTCACTAAGTGTTTGCAGGATCGAATACAGTACATGCCCCGCCGCATCGCGACAGGAAGCTTCCACCCCAGAACGACGACTCGCCGCCTTTCCCCAGAGGATGAAACTCGGAGACCCGGCACCACCCCCAACGAATCATGACCCCCCACACGGCATCCCAAAATTTGCTCCCAAACAGTTTGCGCTAAAAGAAAGGGGGATCACTGGCGGACGTTCCATAAGGAAGCAAGGCGTTCAAAGATAACTACATAGAGTAGACGGGTTGAGCAGGCTACGGTTCTGCTCAACTGTCTCGGAACCTCGGGACCATTATGCGTATTGGCCCCGAAACCGAGACTTTGGATCTGCGACGCGGATCACCAACGAACGTTCCACGAAGGAAGCAAAGCATTCGAAGACAGCTGCGCATAGCGTGCGGATCGAGCAGGCTACGGTTCTGCTTAACTGTTTTGGGAGCTTGGGACCATTACGTGTAGTGGCCCTAAAACCGAGACTCCGGTTCCGAGACGCGAGATGGCAGAACACGGGGAATGCACTGGATGGCATGGGATAAATTGTGCAAGTCGAAACCAGAAGGAGGACTGGGTTTTTGGGTAGTAGAGGATTTTAACACAGCCTTATTGGCAAAACAACTATGGCGTCTTATCGAACATCCTGATTCTCTATTCGCGAAGGTGTTCAAAGGAAGATATTTTAGAGAAGGCACACCTCTAGATCAAATAAGATCTTATTCTCCCTCGTATGGATGGAAAAGCATTACATCGGCTAGGTCTTTGGTACAAAAAGGGCTCATCAAAAGAGTGGGATCGGGTCATTCTATATCAGTATGGAATGATCCATGGATCCCATCCTCACGCCCGAGACCAGCTTCATGGAAGGGGTATAATTATTACCCCAACCTAACAGTTAATCAATTGATTGACCCAGTAACCTCAACGTGGAATATACCATTACTAGAACAACTGATAATTCCTGAGGACATTTGTGATCACTGCAATGGCAACAACTCGGGAACCCCATCCAGATTTATGGGGATGGCATTTCACAAAGACGGGGAGGTATACAGTGAAATCGGGATATTTGATAGAACAACTTTACCCCGATAAAGAATATATACGACCATATGGGCCATATATCAGTAAATTATAGGCCCATGTATGGAAGATAAAATGTCCACCCAAGATAAAACATTTTCTGTGGCAAGCCCTGTTGGGATATTTAGCAGTAACAGCACGACTAAAAGCTAGGGGAATCAATTGTGATCTACAATGCAGTCGTTGTGGAGCGGAGAAGGAAACAATAAATCACACGTTATTCGAGTGCCCCCCGACACTTCAGGTATGGGCGTTGTCACCAATACCTACGCCTATACTAGGGTTTCCAGTGGATGGCCTGTTTTCAAACATGGCACATTTATTTTGGCATTTACCAAATCATGAAGACATGAATATTTATCCCTGGTTACTATGGTATATTTGGAAAATGCGGAATGATAAACTATTCTCTAATATTAACCGGAATCCTTAGGAACTGGTTAAACTAGCAATGGCGGAGACCAAGGCGTGGGAGACAGCACATACTGAGGATCAAAGTATAAAGGCCCCACAGACCAACCATAATACAAATAGCAATTTAGCGGAGTTTACCTGTTGTACGGATGGTTCATGGAAAAAAGATGTTTTAAATGCAGGGTTAGGTTGGTATAGTCAAGGAACAGATACCCTGGACACACTAATGGGTGCACGCAAGATAGGAAAAAACCTATCCCCTTTGCATACTGATTTTGAGGCTTTGATATGGGCAATGCACTGTATGTTAGATGATGGGAGGAAGGCAGTACAATTTAGCTCAGAATTAGTGGAAATGGTGTCAAATCCGAAGGAGTGGCCAGCTTTCGCACTACACTTGGAGGAATATGAAGTCACTAGAAGAGAGTTCCACTTTTCCTCAATAACAAAGATACCAAGGGCGCAGAACAAAAAGGCGGACAAATTGGCAAGGAGTGCTCGAGACCACCTTTATCAGCTATATTTTGTAAACTCAACCCCACCAGAATGGTTAACACCATTATAGAAGGATGAGGCTGTTGACAAAAAAAAAAAAAAAAACAATGAAAACTGAATAAAAATATAACATAAAACTCGTGGAAGACATGATGGAGAAGAAAAATGGTTTTGCATTATCATTACAACTTCCTAACAAAACTAAATGCAAATCAACATGAATCATGGATTATATATACAGTGGTACACAACATCAATAAGACTTTCAATAAAAAAATAAATATTTGAACACATAAACCTTCAAGAAAAAAAAGAACTATAGAAATTCTATGGAAAACATAAAATAATACTAAAATCTTAGCAAGATTATATTTCTCTAAATAAAATATATATGTACGTCAAAGTTAGATAATTCGATAGGTGTCATTGTTATTATTTGACCTAATAGTTTCTTAAAATTTATAAATAAAAATAGGATAAATTACACATTATATATTAATTTCTCTTATATAAATGAAAATTTCTATAAATATATATAATTTTTAATAATTTTAAAGATAGTAGCTAAAAAAAATAAACTAAAAAATTAATACAGATTCACGCGTAACGCGAGTTA